CTTGTACTCATAATATTACTATATTAGGAAAATATTTATATTTACTAAAAGATATTTGTATGTTTTTTGTATTTTATATTTGTAAAGAGAAAGAAATTTACGCGTTCTGAAGAGAAGTGATTTAACGTGTTCTGAAGAGAAGTTGTTTTTCGTCATTGTTTACATATCTTTTAAATATTATTAGGAATTTGAACTCTGATCATTGAATTAATCAGTGATCGAAACTACATATAATCTAGAGTCTTGTTAAATTTTATTTTAACTCTGATTTAACTCCGATTATTGAATAATCAGTGATCGATTCTACAGTATAGCCTAAAGCTTTATTTTGTCTAAGATATTCATAAAAAATATATTTAAGACAACTATTCGCACCATGTATTTTCTTACTAAAATCTTTAAAAAACATTAATAAAGAAATAATAATACAATCAAAATGTCATCATCTAAATGAGTATTATGTTATTATGATAAATGTAAAGAGAAAAAATATGTTAATCCTCGAACAAAACAAGATCATAGCTTTATCTGATATTGGTACATCAAGTGCAAACATCAAAATATTAGCTTCAAAATTTAAAGAACCTCTTCTTGAATTTCTGAGTGAAAGTTCCAAAGATAGTGATTCTGAAGACAATGGTTCCGAAGACAATGGTTACAAAAACAATGATTCTGAAAACAATAATTCTGAAAATAATGATTCCAAAGACAATGATTCTGAAAACAATGATTCTGAAAACAATGATTCCGAAAATAATAGTGATTCTGAAAACAGTGATTCCGAAGAGAATGATTCTGAAGAAAATGGTTCCAAAAAAAATAATTCTGAAAGCAATCAAAGTAAAGGATTGGAAAGCGAAGATGAAAGTACAACTAGTGATGCAAATGAAGATAATTTTGTATTTGGTACTGATACAATGGATTTATTTCTTGAAGATGACTTTGATATACAAACACCTACCACAAGAAGATTATAAAAGGAAAATTTAAAGCTTCTATAGATGATGATGAAGAGATGATTATTCAATTAACGACAGAAAAAAAGGATACATTTGATGTTTATAATTTATTCGATGAAGACGATATAATGATAATTAGAGAAGATGATTATTCTTCTCTAAGTAGTTCTTCAAATAATTCTTCAAATAATTCTTCAAATGAATCTTCAAGTGATTCGCAAGAAAGTCATGATCCTGTAAACTTTATTCTACTGGAAATCGATTCTAAAATTTTTGAACAACCATTTGATATTGATAACAATTGTCTAAATGATTGGATTACTTTATAGATAATGAAATATCAACAACGTTATAATATTTCTGATACTAGTACAAAATCATTAATTAAATTTCTTCAGCATTTACTTTTGTATTTTAAAATCGATGAAGCTGATAGGCTACCGACTTCTATGTATACTGCAAAATCATCTTTAAAGATTTTAACCAAATATAGAAAGTATGCTATATGTCTGAAGTATCATAAGCTCTATGACCCATCGGTAATTAAAAACTATATTCAAGACAATAAGCTAGAAAGTATGAAGTGTACAAATGTAGAATATACCTATTATCGAAATAAATCACAATGATCAGCATGCAATGAACCATTAGCAGTAAAGCTAAAAACAATAGATAGTATCTTATTACGATCATCAAAAATTTATCCGGTTGGAAGTATAAAGCAACAGCTCTATATGATGTATCAGAGAGCTGGCTTTGAAAATATATTGCGGCATTCTAGTAATAGAAATGTTCTGAATAGAATTTTCTCTAACATATATGAAGGAAATATTTAGAAAAATTTTGCTATAAATTCAGAAGATCCTACACCATTTTTTACAAATGATACACTTGATAGTCATATCAGCCTAGCAATTAATATAGATTGGTTTCAACTATTCGATTATACAGTTCACAGTACTGGGGTAATTTATAGAGTATTGTGTAATTTACTAAGGAAAGAATGATTTAAACCAAATAATATATTAACTTTAGATATTATTCCTGGTCCAAACAAATCAAATAAACATCAAATCAATAATTATCTAGCTCCAATCGTTGATGAGTTAGTTGATTTTGCTTCTGGTATAGATTTACTAGCAATATTCGAATATAAAAAAGGACGCAAAATTTATGTCGCATTGATTCTATCATCAAATGATGTTCCAGCTACAAGAAAGATTTGTGATCATACAAGTCATACAGTGAAATATTATCGCTGTCTAAAATGTGCAACATATGATAATTTATCTAAAGAAGTCACTATAGTAGTTTTGAAAATATAGATGAATAGTTTAATCCAGTAGACATAACAAAATATTTTGATGCAGCAAAAGAATGGTTAAATTGTACA